AGGACGATGAATAAGGAGCATAACAAGATGAACTGCCTACATACTAAACTAATGGTGCAGATCTATTTTTTTAAATGGAATTTATTGATTAAAATACCAGAATGCTTGCAATACAACTTTTCTTTTCTTTTGATTCACCATTTTTTGTTTTCACTGAGCTTGAGACAATGCATTCTGGGATTGCTTTCAGCATAAAAAACATGACTATGATGCCTTAAAATGCTGTTTATTGAGGCGGTTCACATTGTTTTGGATGAGAGCATGTGTGTGTGTGTGTATTCACTCACAGGTGAGGCAGACAAGCAGCGCTCGCAGGCTGAGATCAGCCACCCGTCTCCAGCTCTTCCTGACGCGCTCGCACACGGGCGGAACCAGAATCTCCGCCGGCACGAAAAACTGCACCGCAAAACTCACAAACACACCGAATGAGTACAAGACCTTCACCAGCTGATTAGACCTGCAACACACACACACACACACACATGAATGCTGCAGAGAAACGGAGAACAGATCCAGTCAGAAACCACAGAATGTGCAATTAAGGGTTGAAGAACGCCAATGATGCAATGCAGGATTTCAACTCGACTTCAAAGGGAACTCAAAGCAGAGTTTGTTGAAAAAAAAAAACTCGCACTATGCTGTTTCAACACTAGAGATGGGAAAAATGAGAACCAGCTTAGAACTCCATTAAAAAAAACGTAAACATAATGATAGGAACAGAACGAACGGATGGATGGGTGGGTGGAAGAAGTGCAGAGAAAACAGCAAGGAAACAAAGAGGACGATGAATAAGGAGCATAACAAGATGAACTGCCTACATACTAAACTAATGGTGCAGATCTATTTTTTAAATGGAATTTATTGATTAAAATACCAGAATGCTTGCAATACAACTTTTCTTTTCTTTTGATTCACCATTTTTTGTTTTCACTGAGCTTGAGACAATGCATTCTGGGATTGCTTTCAGCATAAAAAACATGACTATGATGCCTTAAAATGCTGTTTATTGAGGCGGTTCACATTGTTTTGGATGAGAGCATGTGTGTGTGTGTGTATTCACTCACAGGTGAGGCAGACAAGCAGCGCTCGCAGGCTGAGATCAGCCACCCGTCTCCAGCTCTTCCTGACGCGCTCGCACACGGGCGGAACCAGAATCTCCGCCGGCACGAAAAACTGCACCGCAAAACTCACAAACACACCGAATGAGTACAAGACCTTCACCAGCTGATTAGACCTGCAACACACACACACACATGAATGCTGCAGAGAAACGGAGAACAGATCCAGTCAGAAACCACAGAATGTGCAATTAAGGGTTGAAGAACGCCAATGATGCAATGCAGGATTTCAACTCGACTTCAAAGGGAACTCAAAGCAGAGTTTGTTGAAAAAAAAAAACTCGCACTATGCTGTTTCAACACTAGAGATGGGAAAAATGAGAACCAGCTTAGAACTCCATTAAAAAAAACGTAAACATAATGATAGCAAATAATAAAAGAATTACGCTAATGTTCAAAAGTTAGGAGTGCATAAAATGTTTTATTGTTCTAAAAGAAGTCTCTTATGCTCACTAAGGTTGAATTTATTTGATTAAAAATAAATTCAAACTAATATCATGAAATATCATTCATTTAAAATAACTTTCTATTTGAGTATATTTTAAAATGTAATTTCTTCCTGTGATCAAAGCTGAATTTTCAGCATCATTACTCCGGTCTTCAGTGTCACATGATCCTTCAGAACTCATTCTAATATGCTGATTTGCTGCTAAAGAAACATTTCTGATTATTATCAATGTTTAAAACAATTGTGCTGCTTCATATTTTTGTGTAAACCGTGATGCATTTCAGGATTCTTCGATGAATAGAAAGTTCAAAAGAACTAAATTTATTTGAAATAAAAAAATCTTTTTAACATTATAAATGTCTTTACTTTACTGATCAATTAAATGCATCCTTACAGAATAAAAGTATACATTTATAAAAAAAAAACATTACCGACCCTGAACATTTGAATGGTAGTGTGTACTGATAATGTAAGTTTCAATTAGATTGCAAAAAAACATATTTTTGAAGTCAAACCGGTCATAAAATTGCAAACATGACGTGATAAATATTTACCTTTCACCTTCTTCTTTAACCGTGGACACACAATGAACCAGACCACCACAGCAGTAAGCAGGGCACAGCCCAATGAGATCAGCAGAGTGCCCCACCATGGCATCCCATTGAATCCCAACACTGTAGAATAAAGAGAAGAAAGAGATGAAAACTTAACGTTTAGTGATAAACAGTGCTATATATTCTATATTTTCATTCTGAAAAGTCTTACATTCCTCCTGAAAAGTTCTTGGTGTTCTCTAAATTAGCATTAGCATAACTTCAAACTTGGCTCAAAATCGAAACTGTGTAAATAAGTCAACTTTAAATACAAGTAATCTATTAAAAATTCTTAATGGAAGAAGAAAAATTGTGGATGAGTGTACAAAACGAGCATTGTCCTGCTTTGCTAAACATGGATAGCATGTTTATCCTCCAGAATTAATTCTGTTGAAAGGCAATGTGTTGACAAAACACTGCAGTGAGATAAGCAAACATTTATACAATTGTCTGTTTAAAAGGAGGTCGAAATGGGAGGCTATCTAGTGAAAGTTTCTTTTTTATCATTAGAAATTATAGCTAAGCTAATTTTCAGTTCCTTTGAAAGAACAGAACCACTAACGGTATCAAACATGGTCATGTGCGTGGCTCAGATAACCAGGAAGAGGGCGGCCCTGTGATCCGCTGATTAATACACAGACTCTGTGTCAACTGCTGGTTCACAGCGGCTTTTTAAAAAATCTTTAGTACATCATGATCCCCTGGATGTTTGCTTATGAGAACAGATTGTTGGACTTGGGCCAAAATTATATTTCTTAACTTTATTATTACATCAACAAACTGTACAGACAGCTACAGTACACATTTTCAAATAGTTATATTCATTAGCAATATGGTGTACTGTGTTTAACCCACCAGCCTTTGTATGTGTTTGTGAATGTGAAAGTAAA